GTCCCTGTGCTTTGCTAAGCTTGTTCTAAGTAGGTGCTCCAGACCACTGAGCCATCTCACCAGCCCCTCACTTTGCTCTTTAAATGGTTTATATTTTGGCTTTCTCATATTACAGCTACCATTCAATATTTAATTTTCCATGTCTGATGTATTTTACTTAGCATTGTGGTCTTCAAATCCATCCATTCTCTTTTTTGTGGTGGAGTAGTGAGCCATCATGTGAAATGACATGTTTTCTTTTTCTTTTTTGTTGAAACAAGGTCTCACTATGCAGCTCGGACTCATAATAATCCTCCTGTCTCAGCCTCCCCAGAGGTGGAATTACAGACGTGCACTACCACACCCAGTGTTGGAATTACAGAGCTGGAATTACAGACGTGCACTACCACACCCAGTGTTGGGGCCAGCATGTACTGTGGATCAAACTCAAGACCTTGCACTTGCCAGGCAGGTGCTTAAACCACCAAGCTATCTCCCCAGCCGCTTTTTTTATTTTTATAACTTCTTTTCTTTTGTGTCAGGAATCGAACTCAGGACCTTGCGCTTGCCGGCAAGTGCTGTGCCCCTGAGCTGTATCAGTACCATCTTTTCTTTCTGCATCCACCTGCTGGTGGCCATGCAGGCTGCTCCCAGGATTCTGCTTCTGAATGTGTGCTGCTGTAAACATGCTGTGCATGGATGGCCGTCGCCTGATGTCCTTAACTCTTTTGGGACAATATGCAAGAGAGAAATAGCTGGCTCGAATAGTTTCTAGGTGTAGGGTTTTGTGTGCGTTTGCCGGGATCCCCACGCTGATTTCCACACTGCTTGCGCCAGTACACTCTGACAGTGTAGCAGCGTTCCCTCGCCCACGTCCTCGGCAGCATTTGCTGTGCTTTGAGTTCCTGAGAACAGCCGCCGCCACCAGGCCAGGGTGAGGTGGAAGCTTGGTGAGGCTTGGAGCGGCACAGACGGTGAACAGCGGCGTAAATGCACACTGCAGCACAGTCGCCACGGCTGCCACATGTCATCATCGAGGCTGCAGAGCCGCTGAGCCAGGGGGACGGGGCCATGGCCCAGAGCACGCTGATGTGAGTCGATCCGTCTAAGACAGCACAGGCTCAGTAAGGAGCGGGCGGAAATTCAGGAACCTCAGCCACAGGGCAGAGGTAGAGTCAGCCGCAGGAAGGCCTGAGAGTACACCCGCTGTACTGTGTGTGCGCGCTGAGGACTCACGCACTCCCTGGCCCAGGCTGGCACTTCGACTGCCTTGGCCTCCTGAGTGCTGAGATTAAAATGTTTGTTTTGGGACTGGGGATACAGCTCTGTGACCCAAGCACCTGCCTGACGAACGCAAGGTCGTCCCTCAAACTCAAGGTCATGAGTTTGAGTACCAAGAAACCAAGTAAATAACAAAAATAAAATATTTTAAAGGATGCGTAACCTGGGCTGAGCACGCGGCTCAGTGGCGCAGCACCTTCACGCGCCTGGGTCCCTCGGCTCGACCCAGAGACGCGGACAGCCACGTCCAGTGCAGACGGAGCAAGGAGACTCTGTGAGCATGTTATCGAGGTAGATTTTGCTGCAGGGATAATCTCAAAGCTCAGTGACAACGCTACAGATAGATGTTCATTGTATTTTACTTTGTGTTGCTGGGGGTTCGACGCAAGGCCGAGCTACACCCCCAGCTCTTCCAGTTTTCACCATTTTGAAGCAAGGTCTTGTTGAGCGGCTGTTTCAGCCGGGCCGGGCTCCAGCGTTTGCGCTCCTGCCTCGGCCTCCAGAGCGCGGGGCTCACAGGCGCGAGCCCAGGCCGGTTACCCGCTCCGCGCGAGCGCGCTCCCCCTGCCGCCCCGGGCCCCGGCCCGCCCGGACCACAGCCCGAGGCGGGGCGGGGCGCGAGTGCAGCCGGGCGTGCAGCCGGGCCTCGCACAGCCCGCGCCGCCCGCGCTCGGCTTCCCTTCTCCCGCGGGAGGCGGGCGGGCGGGGCCGCGCGGGCCCTGTCCGTGGTGCTGCCCGGCGTTCGCCCTGCGCGCCCGCGTCCTCCCGAGCCGAGCCACGGCTTTCTAGAATCCTAGTTTGCAGAGATGTCGCCTCACTGTCCTCGCGAGCTGTGCAGAAAGGTGACACCAAAGCCCTTCCTGTGCAAATACACAGGTGGTCCAGTGTTCGCCAGGGCTGCTGCAGTGGCTGGGAGCCGGGCGTCCCAGTCCAAGGCCCGCACGCTCCCGCGACCAGCAGGTGTAGACCCCCCAGGACCGACTCGATCACCACAGGCAGGAAAAGCCTTCTGCCGATCGGCCACGCCCAAGCCACGCCCCCTCGCCTCTCGGAAGCGCGCCTGCGCAGTGCCTCTTACGCATTCTAGCCCCGCCCCCTCCCCGAGCAATCATTGGCCTCGGGGACCGGGTTTGGGCACAAGATGGCTGCCACGCGCCGGGAGCTTCGGAGTTCGAGCTCCCCGACCCCCGAGTCACGATCCCAGGAGCTGCCGGACCTGGTGCGGGCGAGGAAGGGGCCCAGGCGGAGGATTCGAGGCGACGGAGGTCGCAGGGCAGTGGGCGGGGTCTGGCCAGGGCCTATACGAATGGGCGGAGATAGACTGGGGCTCTGGCCCTGGGGGCTGGGCTTCTCAGGGCTATCCGGGGGCGGGGTTTAGGAAGGAGCCTATGAGGATGGAAGGGCGTGGCCTAGGGGAGGCGTGTTATGTGGGGGCGGGGCCGGATACTGGGAGAGGCGTTCTAGTGGTATGATTTGCATAAATTGGGTGGAGCCTTCAGAGAGGCGGGGCTTCAGGGACGTTCTGGGAATAGTGAATTCAGGTGAAAGTTTGAGAGGCAACCCTGAAAGAAGGGATTGTGACCATGTCACTAGATGGGGGTGCGGGGATGCCCTACAGGGGATAGGCACAAGAGAGGATCCGGAGTGAGCAGTGGGTGCTCTGGATGACAGGAACCTCCTTCACACACCCCCCGCCCCAGCTCAGACTTGGGAGAGTAACCCGGGACATCCATTCAATGATAGACATTCACTGAGCTGACCAGGCTTTGTAAACAGAGCCCTGCCCAAGACAGAGAGGCCCTGTGTTCTCTTGTAGCTTGCAGTCCTGCGAGAGGAGAGAGCTGATGAGCGAGATTCCCTGTGACATGTTCTAGAAAGGAAATAAAAAGTGAGCTGATAGAGTGGGGGTGGGGAGATAAATTTAGACGACAGCAGTCAGCTGGGTGCCGGCTGACATTTACAGTGGTGTCAGAGAGAGGCAGGAGCCAGCGCTCGGTGGACACTATGTGCCGGCGCGGGTTAGGAGTTAGTTGCATTTGTAGGAGGCCGTAGAGGCCGCTCCAGGCAGATGGGTTATGGGGTTCTCTGTAGAGGTTTTCATTTGTGGAGGGGAGAGATACATGGGCTTCCGGCACGGGGGGGAGGAGGGAAGGTCTGGGCCCGACTGCCTTCTGGTAGGCGAGGACAGGGAGACCTGGAACGCGCAGCCCAGCAGTGCGGAGGAGCCATGTGGGCATCGAGAGGTCTAGGGAGGTCCACAGGCTCCTGTCTTCTACTTTCGCCAGGTCCTGGTGCCCGATGATGGCCCTCCCGCCACTCCCCCGAGTGACCTCATCGAGATCCAGGTGGTGAAGGTCACAGACACCACGCTGGTTCCCGGGCCGCCGGAGCCGGGCTCTTTCCACTGTGCCTTGTGCCCAGCTGCCTTCCGGCTAGTGTCCGAGCTGCTGTTCCACGAACACGGTCACCTGGCGGGCGCGGTTGGCGGCGGGCGCGGCGGGGACCCCAGCCGGTGCCACGTGTGCGGCCACAGCTGTGCGGGGCCGGCCAGCCTGCGCGCGCACTACAGCCTGCACACCGGGGAGCGGCCCTACCGCTGCGCGCGCTGCCCACGCGCCTTCAAGGCGCTGGCGCCCCTTCTGAGGCACCAGAGCCGCCATGGCGCCGAGTCTGGGCCCTCGCGTGCGCCACACACGCGCTCCGCAACCGCCGGGGAGCTGGGCCCCGGGGTATCCCTGGAGAGGGCTGAGGTGGTGTTGGCCGCGGCGGCTGCAGGCGCGACCGTGGGCAAACCCTTTGCCTGCAGGTTCTGCGCCAAGCCGTTTCGCCGCTCCTCCGACATGCGGGACCACGAGCGGGTGCACACGGGCGAGCGGCCCTACCACTGCGGCGTGTGCGGCAAGGGCTTCACGCAGTCCTCCGTGCTCAGCGGCCACGTGCGCATCCACACAGGCGAGCGCCCCTTCCGCTGTGCACTCTGCGACCGCACCTTCAACAATTCCTCCAACTTCCGCAAGCACCAGCGCACACACTTCCATGGGCCTGGGCCAGGGCTGGAGTCCCGGGCTTTGGCGGCTGAGAGGGCAGGAAGAGCATGCGGGGCGAGCCACCCGCGGGAGGAGGGGTGCAGAGACCAGGCAAAAGCTGAGGTTGACCAGTAGGCCAAGACAGAGGGGTGCGGGGAAATAGAAGCAATGAAGAAGAGGGGAGACCAGGAGCAGCCCACCTGCTCAGCAGAGCGCAAAGACCAGACTCTCTATTCCCAGAAGCCGACACTCCCTGTGTGAGACCCAGAGAAAGAGAAACAACCCCGTGGTGCCCAGCTATCTTGTGAGGATCATGGGGAATTTCATTACCTCTTTTGCATCCCTGTTTGGTCGTCTGTATGTGGGACATAACGTATCACAGCAGAATGGACATGACAGAGGGAGAGGACCAGGGCCACACTCCTGGCCCAACCAATCATCTGCAGAGCCCTCGACTGTCTTGGGGATCCCTAAGTGGACCAGGATGGAATCTTTTGCCTACCTCACTGGATTGCACTGGACCGGGGACAGCTACCCACCTCTAGGCAGGAGCTGCCCAGCAGGTGGTGCGGAAAGACTCTAGGATCCCATCACTCAAAGCCAGGGATCCCTGAGTCACAGCTGTAAGCACTGGAAGATATAAGCCTGACCTTAGAATCGCTGCTTCCCCACCCCCACGGTGGTCCCCCTTTAACCCATCCAAACCCTGGTCAAACACAAGAGCACACCCAGCAAGCAACTACCTACCACCCTTCCCTCAGCTGTGGTGCAGCCCGCTGCTTCCCCACAGCTACAGAGTACCCTCAGGTCTCTCTGATTTCCTCCACTTGGAATCTGAAGCAAACAGCTACTGCCTGGTCCCAGGCAATCCTGAAGAAGGGGGGCTGGGGCTGGGACAGGGGGAGGGCTGGAGGAGGGGAACCTCCAGTCTTCTGTTCCTATTAAAGGACTGTCTGAAGGGTTGCTCTCTCATTCTTACATTGGGGTTGTCTCTTAGGGGAGGGTGGGACTGCCACTCTGGTCTTGCCACCAGCGGCAACTTGCACTGGGCTCTGCCCAAACCTCTAAGACTGGGGGTTAGATGGTACACGCCAGTTGTCCCCAGCTACTCGGGGGTGACGCCCCCTCCGGCCAGTCTTAATCCCTGGCAAGTTGCAGGGAAAGGGCTGTTCAGAGATGTTTTGTGTCTTCCTCCGGAAGAGGAAAGGGCAGGGAGCACTGAAGGGACACCTGTGATGGCCAGGCTTCTGGAGAAGGAAGAATCAGTTCCTGGTCCACTTAAGGAAATAATGGGCCGCTAGTGTTATCCTGTTCTATCGTCCATGACAGCTCCCAGTGGCTCAAAAAGGGACGAAAGCCATCCCCCTTTCCCCAGAGCAGCATCCATGCGCCTGTCTCACTGGCAAGGCTGTAGCACTGCTTTTGCCTCTTCACCTACTGCCCTCGTTACTCAGCATTTAGACTGCCTCTTCACTACCCCTGTAGACAAAGCTGACGGGGCAAGCACAGCAGCGTTGTTCTTGGTGCACCTTCTTCATTCTCCGGCATTGCAGCCAGAGGGCTCTCCCAACAACCCACAGCTCCTTGTGGCTTGGAGAAGCGGTCACAAGCATGAGGGTCTACAAGAGTGGGTGGCAAGGGAAATACCAGATAGAAGGAAAACATCAGTGAGTGGAAGCAGGGCAAAGCATGCTTGGGCTCACCCCTGGGGCTCAAGAGTGGCGGCAGGTTGGAGTCTGCCCCCTCAGCAGAGGACAGGGGCTCCTCAGCTTGTGTGGGGATGCAGGTTGATTTCCAAGTCTTGTGACAGTCCCACGAGTCCCATTAACTCCTCTGATGAATCTTGGCTTGGAGCACACTTCCTGTTCCGCCTCCAAGCTCCATTCTCAGCCCTCTGTGTCCTTGCTTAGGGCACAGAAGGGGCAGTGTTTCGCTCCCATCCAAGCTGACAGATAGTGTTTCCAGCCTTTAATCTGCAGTCTCCTAAGCCCTACAGCCTGGAACTCAAGAGGCTGCAAGATCCAGCCACACTGTTAGATTCTCCAGAATAGCTGGATTGGGTGGGGCACACCAAACCTACTTAGAATTGTTTGCCAACTTTACCTGGCAGGCTCCTGTTGCTGTACTGTGTCATTGTCCAGGCATTACCTTGTCCATACCACTTTCCAGGTGTCACCCACAGGACTGCCTCACATTCCCTCAGCCGATGGGGATGGATCCCCATCTCTTAGGTTGACCAAGCTTCACTTTTGCGTAACTGGATCATGAGCAAGAGGCATGTCATGGCGGGCCTGCAGAGTTGGAACAGAGTGGCCACACTGGATTGCAGCCGTCCCATGTCACATGACACCTGCCCAAAGTGGGCCATGAAGGGGCACCTAAATCTCAAATTGTGGCCCTGGTGGGGCATTGCTCATGGGCAAACTTTGTGACGAATGAGTCTGCACAAGCCTGCAAGAAGGCAGCCACCTTCAGTTCCTGAGGGTGAGGGCTATGTCAGGCCTGCTTCCCCAGGGCCAGGCTGGGACCCAGCAAACAATGACATCTGGGAAAGGTCACTGAGTGAGAAAACGCTGACAGCCTGGCAAAGGGGAGGGACTGTCTTATCTGTCTCTCTTTGCCCAACTCAGGAGCCCATGTGGGTACTTTTTCAGCAAATACCAGCTGAAGGGCAGGAGGCAGAGTGCAGGGTATCAGATCCTGTGTTCTGCCACATCTAAAGCCCCACTCTCCCTGGGACACAAGGACAGACATCAGGTCCTGTTGTGAAGATTTATTGTTCTCTGCTCTGTACAAGCGGCGTCTGCCACCCCAACCCCCCCACCCCACAATCCAAAAAGCACCCCCTTCCACAACCCCAGCTCTGCATACCCCACTGCCCAGCCAGACTCCAAAGGAAAAGGGGTGTGCAGTTCAGCTTCATCTCCATCAAAGAGCTTGCTCCCCGGGGTGGAGGGCCACTAGCAGTGGCCAGAGAGGGTCACAGGAGGGCTGGCCAGGAAGCCAAGTTCAGTGTTTGGTGGGACGGGGGTGGGCCAAGAGGTCCAGGAGGGGTGATTCAGTCTGGAATCTGCAGGGCCTGGGCCCTGAGGGAGACCAGGCAGTCTGAACTTCCGAAGGATGGGTCAGAGAGATGGACCGTCTGACCAGCAGGCCCAGAGAGGGAGAGTCCACAGAGGACCCGAGATCAGTGTGACAGAGCCTCAGGCGTCCTTCCCCGCCAGGGTCCCAGGCCCCGCCCCCGGGGCTCCGAGGCCCTCAGCCTTGTGCACCAGGCGGTGCTTCTTCAGGCCATAGGTGTTAGCGAAGCCTTCTCCACAGGAGGAACAGCGGAAGGGCCGGCCACCCTGGTGGGCCGCCAGGTGCTTGCGAAAGTAGCCGGGATCTTTGAAGGCCTTGAGGCAGGCAGGGCAGCGTAGCTCGGGCCGCGGCGGCTCATGGGCACGCTGGTGGCGCAGCACAGAGCTCAGGTAGAAGAAGCCCTTCCCGCAGTGCTCACAGCGGTAGGCTCGTTCTCCCAGGTGTAGCCGCTGGTGCTCCAACAGGTTGGAGCGGTAGCGGAAGGTCTTGCCACAGGCACCACAGCGCTGGGGCCGTGCCACAGCGTGCAGCCGCCGGTGCTCGGCCAGGCTAGACGACTGTGCGAAGCGCTTTGCACACACACCGCACTTGAAGGCGCGCTCTCCAGTGTGCACTACACGGTGCTGCCGCAGGTACCAGGACCGCAGGAAGCCTCGGCCGCATATACCACACCGGTAGGGCCGCTGTTCCGTGTGACAGCGCTGGTGGCGCATGAGCAAGGCTGCCTCCCAGAAGCGCTTTCCGCACACAGGGCAGCGAAAGCCGCGCTTCTGCCGGTGGCTGCGGCGATGCAAGAGCAGGTCATAGGCGCCCGCAAAGCTCTGGCCGCAGAGGCCACAGCCCAGGGTCCGCCGCACTAGGTGCACGTACTTGTGTGTCACCAGCCCCAGGAAGTGCTTGAAACTCTGGCCACATGTGGCACAGCTGAAGCGTTCTGGACCTGCACCTGCACCCCCACCAGCCCCAGCAGACGCGCCTCCCGCGTCCTCACCTCCTGACACACCAGCCAAGGCTGCCACCGCTGCACCGACCTCTCCAGCCAGGCCGTTGTCCAGCACACTGGCCGCATCGGTGCCCCCGGAGCCTTCCGCGGGCTGTGGGCCGGTGGGAGCGAGCAGGCGCTCGGGGGCAGCCTGGTGCACCAGCTTGTGCCACATGAGGTTCTCGATGAAGCCGAAAGTCTTGCCGCAGGCGTCACAGCCGTAAGGTTTCTCAGACATGTGTACCTCTTTGTGGCTCATGACGTGGAAGAGATCGGGGAAGTGCTCCCCGCAGTCCGAGCAGGCATAGCTGAGCGCGTCCGTGGGGCCTGCCCCCCCAGTGCTGGATGCCCCCGCCCCGCAAGCCCCTGCGGCGCCCTGGGCAGCTGGCAGCCCAGCAGCCCCCGCCAGGGCACATGGCAGCTGAAGCCGGTGCACCTGGCGATGGCGGGTGAGGCTCTGCGGGTAGCCAAAGACCTTGCCGCAAAGCTCACACTTGTAGGGCCGCTCTCGAGTGTGCACCACGTGGTGTTTGCTCAGGTGGAAAGACTCGCGGAAGCGCTTCCCGCACACCGGGCACTGGTGCGGCTTCTCGCCCGTGTGGATGCGCTCGTGGCGCTTCAGGGTCTCGCGGCGGCCGAAGCCTCGCCCGCAGATCCCACAGCAGAAGGTCTTCCCTGCCGCGCCGCCCGCCCCGCCCGCTCCTCCGGCCCCGGGGCCGCCGAGCAGCAGCGGATGTGCGCCCAGCAGCGGCACAGGAACAGCGCCATACACCACCGCTGCGGCCGCAGCAGCCGCCTTCTCGCTGTCGCCGGCGGGCGGCTCGGCGGGCAGCAGGTAGGGGCCTGTGGGGAAGGCGGGCGCGGGCGGTGCTACCGCCGGAGCCGCGGAGTCCTTGGGCGCCTCGGGCGTGGGGGGCGGCGCGTGCGCCGCCTTGTGGCGCAGCAGGCTCTGCGGCGCCGAGTAGGACTTCCCGCACAGGTCGCAGGCGTACACCGGCCGTGCCCCGCCCGCCGCCGCGCCCGCGTGCGCTGCCTGGTGCTTGAGTAGGTACGCAGCGTCACGGAAGGCTTTGCCGCACACGCCGCAGGGCAGACGCAGCAGGTCCGCCGAGTGCGTCTTCACGTGCCGCTTGAGGCTCTCGCGCCGGTTGAAGCTCTTATTGCACACCGAACAGGAGAAGGGCTTCTCGCCCGTGTGGATGATCTGGTGCTGGTGCAGGTGGCTCGGCTTCTTGAACACTTTCCAGCACAGCGGGCAGGCAAATGGGCCGTCTCCACCTGTGGTGGCCGCAGGGGGTCCAGTGACGCCCCCTGGGGCAGGGGCAGCACTGCCGTCCGAGGGGGGGGCTGGAGCGGCCGGGGGCCCCACCGGCGTGGGGGTGACACCTGCGGCGGCCGGGGCAGGTGCAGTGGTCCCGGGGGCGAGGCCCAGTGGGGGCACAAGTGTGGCTCCAGGCGGCGGTTGCGGGGCCCCGGTGGCTGGCACGTCCTTGTGGCAGCGGCGGTGGCGGATCAGGCTGGACACGTGATTGTAGGTGCGGCCACACACCCCGCACTCGTAGGGCCTCTCGCCCGAGTGCACCAGCATGTGCTGCACCAGGTGTGAGGACTGCTTGAAGGACTTCTGACAAACGCCGCACGGGAAGCGCCGCTCCATCAGGTACTTGAGCCGCCGGAAGTAACCTTTGTCATCCTTGGCTGGGTCACAGGCGGCCCCTGTGGCAGCGGGGCCAGGTGGGGTCTGCGAAGGCATGGGGAGCGGCCCCGGGGTCCCTGCGGGTGCACCCAGCCCTGGCGCCACTCCAGGCCCGGCCGTGGGCCCGCTGCGCTTCAGGTTCCCAAACAGGTGCTGGTGCCCCGAGAGGTCCACGATGCCCCACTGCGGGGCAGGGAAGGCCGCATCGAAGAGCGGAGGCGGGGGTGCCCCAAAAGCTGGGGGAAGCGGTGGGTCGGGCTTCTTGGCTTGGTTGGAGGTGGAGGATGAAGAGGATGATGATGAGGACGAGGACGAGGACGAGGAGGAGGAGGCTGAGGATGGGGCCTCGGCCTTGGGCTTGAAGCTAGTGGGTGGCGGGTAGTCGAACTGTGGTGGAGGTGGCTGTGGCGGGGGCTGTGGCGGGGGCCCTGGGGCACAGGGCAACGCAGCCACGGCCTTGGCGTGCTCCCCGTAAAGCTCCATGGGTTCAAAGCGCTGGTGGTTGAGGAACTCCAGGAAGTCAAAGGGGTAGCTCTGGAAATGCACGCCGTCCTCGCCCCCCAGGCCGCTGCTCCCGCTGCCCCCCGCGGGGTTCGCCTCCATCTCCGCAGTGGTGGGGAACCCTGGGAAGAGAGGTGGGGCTGAGGATGGGTTGGGTGCCCTCCCCTTCCGGTCCAACTTTTCTCAGCCTAGGCCGGTTGCACTATCAACCCGGAAACGCCACGGCATCTTCCCTGCTGGAGGCCGGGGGCCCTGCTCTGGTCACAGAGCAGTAATGGCTTCTATTCTGGAGACGCTGGGGGTTGAACACTGGGCTTGTACTGAGATCCCCAGCCTCCCCACTTTCATTTTGAAACGGGATTAAGTACCCCAGCTGACCTAAAATCTGCAGTTTCCTTCCTCAGCCTCTGGAGCAGTTGAATTACATACGTGCAGGCCACACTTGGCTCAGAACAGCAGGCTGTCACGGAGCCCTGGCCTGTCCAGCCGGGAGACCCTGCTTCCTCCTCCTCCCTCCCTCCTCCTTCCTCACAGAGGAAGGTGGGGATGGAGCCCAGGGCGGAGTCTCATCTCTGGGTGCTCCCCGAGTTATAAGGGGCTCATGGTAATGCCCTGGTGGAAGGGGATGGTGGACATGGCCTTCACAAAGCACTGCTGTGAACTCTTCCTCTGCTTGCGGCGTGGACACCCGGATCTGAACGAGCTCCTTCCCAAGTATCCTCCCATCCCTGCTGTGGGCCCCATCGCTTTCCAGCCCAGCATCCAGCTGAACTCTTTGCATCACAGTTAATCACCAGCACCTTTTTGGCTTTGTGGTCCTGTAGCTAAACCCTGGCCTTTACAGTGAGCTACATCACCAGCCTGTTTTTATTTTTATTTTTGTCAGAACTGGGGACTGAACTCAGGCCCTTGTGCTTGCCAGGGAAGGGCTTATTCCACTGAGCCATCTCCCCGGCCCGTTTTTATTTTTTGAGTCAGGGACTCACTAAGTTGCCCAAAATGGGCTTGAGCTTGCAACCTCCCAGAGTGTACAGAGATTCCAGATGCTGCTGGCTCCCCTGCCCCTGTGCTGGGTCTCTGCAAAGCCCTGGCCTGTGTTGCTGTGGCTCCTACACTTTCCTAGCACCTGCATATAGATGTTTGCTGACAGGCACAAAGTAAACGCCACCTTCCTAAGCCTCCAGCAGGCCCACAGAGAAGCCACGAAGGAAGTGAGAAAATGCCTTGTGATGGATAAAAACAAAACTGTGGCCTAAGGCCAGGGATTCAGCTTGGCAGCAGAAGCACCTTCAAGTGCAATGTCCTGAGTTTGATTTCAGGGACCAAAAAAATCAAAAACCATGGCCTGCAAAGCTGGGGAGGGGCCGCTAGAGCAGTGCCAGGGTGGGTATCCACAGCTGCCAGTGCCTGCTGGTCGCTGTTGCAAGTGTCTGACTGGACAAGACTCTAGAGAACAGGTAAGAGGTGCCACACCTGGGGCAAAAGGGGTCCCCCAGAAAACAAAGGGAAAGCTTTCAAAGGTTTCATCTGTTGTCAGGTGTTTGCTCCATGACACCCCCTCGCGCCATCCCATGGACCCCTGCGCTACTCTTGGCCCTGTTTAAGCGAAGAAACAGAAGCAGAAGGAGAGTTTACTCCCCAAGGTCAGGAAGCCATGAAGGAGAAATCGGTGTTGGATGCCAGGGGTCTTTCATGCCAGGAACTGCCAGCTCTTTGGGGCAACAGAGCCACCTGTGTCACAACTGGAGCCCATCGGTGACAGTAACAGCCACTGAGGAGGAATAAGGTGGATCCCCAGTGAGTACCTTATTCTCCTCCCCACAATGCTGGGAAACAGTCACCAATACTAGCTCTGAAATCCAGGGGAAGGAAGGGACCTAGGGCAGGAGAAGTGACTTAGTCTCCCGAGCCACAGAGTGGGTGACAGGATCTGGAGCCTGTACCCCTGTCCTACAACATACTGACTTTCTGGATTTCGCCATACAAAATAAAGCAAAGTGCTCACTCATCTAACACACATGCAGCTGCGACCCATGGCTCCCTGCCACCAAACCCCAAGTCTCTAGGTGCAACCCAGTGCCAGGACAGGCTCTGACACTTGAACTCTACCAAATGCTGTATGGGTGCCCAAGGTGGCTTGTCACATTCAGACCTCATAATAAGCTCAGAAGTATGGCCATTTGCATTTACAGACCAAGCCGTGGTCCACACTGCGCACAGCCTTGCAGCGACCCTCTCACTCAAAGTGAAATCCACAGTCCTCCGGTGTGCTGGCTCTGTCTGCTCTCACCTTTGCGCCAGAGCCCTTGCTCCTGCCCTGGAACGCTCCCACACCCTCTCTCCTGCCTGTCTCTGCTCGTGTCCTCTCCACAGGCTCTCAGGAACCTGTCCCCCCTCCCAGGCCCACACACCTCCCCCTCCTTCATTCCTCTCCTCGCCACTTAGTGCAGCCTAACAACCATACATCCCACTTGCTCTTGTGTCTCTGCTGTTCTCTCTCAGTCCCCACAACCGGCGACATGGCTTGAGCCGTGTCTGTGGGATAATGAATGAGGCTGGTCACAGAGGGCCTGGTTTTCTGAATATAAGCCCCAGCAGAATCTGGGGCCACAGCACCCCTGGGAACCACAGCTGCCCAGCAGGTGGGAAACTGACACTCACAAAGCTAACATTTTCTTCTGTAGTTTATTGGAGGAGCAAGAAAGAGGCGTGTGCCTGGACATTGGGGCTCTGCCCACTGTGTTCTCTGCGAGCTTGTGAATAAAACCGAAGGTGCTCGAGTGGGCGGTACAAATACTAAAACTGGAGCGATACAGAGATAAGTATGAATGAAGGTGAAGAACTTCTGTGAAAGGCAGAACTGACAGTGGCCAGATACTCTGCCACAAGGCCCTTGGAGACCATGCCCTCGCTCCTCTCCTTCCTCCTTGGAGTTCAGCTCCGACCTCAGCAGCCTCAGCTGCTCCTCCACTTGTCATGGTCCCTGCCACCTCAGGACCTTGGCACTGGTCCCCATCTGTTCCCCCAGATCTCTGCATGGTTATGCCAGCTCTCATGCGGGCTTCCCCTGAGGCAGCTCAGGACTCGCACAGGCCCCAACAGCGCAGCGCCATGTTGTGTATTTGTTTACTCTCTTGATCAGGCGCCTCAACTACGCTATAAGATCCAGAAGAGGAACGACTTCATCTCTTTGCTTCACAACTGTAGGCCCTGGGCTGGAACGGGGCATACCCACTCCGTGAACGACAAGTGTCTATGAACAAGGGTGAGTCACACGCTAAGGGGGCGCAGGGATCTCTTCTAGTACTCTAGGGCCAGGTAGACTAGGAAACAGAAGGCCTCACAGCGGGCGCTGTTCTGGGGGAGCAGTACTGAAGACAGGGCCGGGGAGCCTGGACCAGCAGGCCGCTCTGGGACAGGAAGTGGGTATGAAAACAGAACGAACGCTAGAGGGTGCTGCACCACTGAGGGGTGGTGTGGTGCGAAGGGGGTGTCCTGAGAATCGCCAGGGAGGCTGCAGGAGGGGGAAAGGTACTCCTGACGTGGACCAGAATAGAAAGCATTTTTCACCCAGTAGGGGAGCCGGGGGCGGCTCGTGCATGGACAGAGTGGGGGGCAGTTCGGGCGCAAAGCACTAACGCACCTCACCCCGAGAGCCATTCTTTAGCAGGGGACTCCCAGCCCTGTAATGGGCTCAGCAGCAGCTGCCCTAGGGCAGCGAGTGCTAGCTGGGGCCATGTGGGGGCTGTCTGGCACCGAGCAATGCGGTGGGCTACGTGGAAGAGATCCTAAGAGAAGGCGTTAGTGGGGGCCTTGGCAGCTGGGGGGGGTCGTCATGAACGAGGGCGCTCTGCGGACGTCCACCTTCGGGGTGCTCACCGGGGCAGGGCTGAATGGTTTTAGGGAAGAGCAGAGGTTGGGGGTCCCCTGGCTAGGCCCGGCAGAGAGGCACTGGCGCTCGGGGTGGGGGTGGGGGCGTCCTGGGGACCGCCGCAGGCCAGGGCGGGACCCGCCGCCCCCGAGCCCCCGGGCCGCGCGCCCCGTCACTCACCGGCGCCGGGGTCTCCGCCGGGAAGAGGCTGAGGAGGCGGAGGAGGCGCAGCCGCTCCGGGGAGACCCGAGACCCCGGCAGGAAGTGCCTCCCCCTCCCCAGTAGCTCCGCGCCGCTCGCCCGGAAGCGGAAGTTGCTCCCGTTCCCGAGGCGCCGGCGTGGAGGACGCAGAGGCGGCGGCACTGAGGGGGAGGCGGAGAGGAGGAAGTGCGCTCCCCGCTGGGTCGGGCGCTTGGGCGGGGAAAGCCTAGGCTGCTTCCGCTAGGCAGCGACGCAACTGCGCTTGCGCCCTGTGCCCCCGCCGCGTCCTAGGGCACTGCCCGGTGCGCCGGACTTCCGGTGGAGGCACGCCCTGGGTTGGCTCCACCCCCAGGCCCGCCCCTTCAGCGAGAGCCACGCCCACCCGAAGAGTAATCATGTAGGCTCCGCCCCTCTAGAAAAATTGTTCCCTTCGCCCCGCCTCCAAAGTTTCTCCCGTTTTCTGTCTAAGCCACCGGTGGTTGTAATTAAGCCCTTCCAGGCCACGCCCCTTCTCAAGCCTCGCCTCCCGCACTTCAGCTCCGTTCCCCTTAGCATTTAAATGCCACCTCTCCTAACTTGCATACTAGTAGTTCTTCCTCGAAAGCATTCCCCTACATCAGTGCTTCTCTGAATGTGGTCCAAAACCAATCCCCTTAAACCCCTCTTCCAACTCAGCCCCACCCCAAGCTGCTAAACCCTGCGTCCTTCAGAGATCCTTCTATTAAGGGCGCCGGTAGCTAAGCAGCAGTCATGCCCCTTCTTTGCACACTGCCACCTTGTGGCAGTCACTTCTTAGCCCTCCTGGTCCCTGCCTTTCCTGCGTTCCTCAGCCCGAGCCACTGAGCTCAACCCAGCCAGTCCCTCTAAAGCCCTTCCTGCTGGCCGAGTGCTGCTGCTTCTTGAGCCCTGCCCAGTTATTACCCTTTCCTCCGAACCCTGTCTTAGTGTCTCCTAACTATGCCTAAAGCGCCCACCACTTGGGCTCAGCCCTGGCCCCTGCGGGCCTCTTTCCCCACTGCTCCCCTTCCGTTTGCGTTTCTGCTTTGGTGCTAGGGATGGAACATGCACCCCAACCCCGACACTCCGTTTTTCCTTGCAGACAGGGTGTCCTCCAAATAAGGAATGTGAGGTGTCAGTTGTGGATTTTCTGGGGGTTGGGAGGGGCGCAGGGGGTGCACATTTGCAGAGCGGGGCCAGTGCTTCACACTTGGGCTGGCTGTGCATTGGCAGCACTTCGGGCAAGGGCTGCTGGAGCCAGGTTGATGGATGACACCATCAGGAAGACACACACAGGGCCAGCAGGCAGGCTTTATTTCTATGCCCGGTGTCTCCATGGGCCTGGGTGTCCCCAGGATGATGCGAGGACTCAGCAGCACACCTAGGTCCCTGCCCTCCACCCCCTCCCACAGCGGGCAAGCCACCAGGAAGCAGGGTGCCCTGGCCTCTGGGCCCAGGTCTACCCCCATCCCCAGCTGAGCTTCATGCTGCAGGCCTGAATCAGGGGTGGGCGGCTGCGGCTGCGTTCCCCTGGGAACCCCCCTCATGCTCTCCCTCAGTGGCAGGGATGCCCTCATCGTCCCACGCAGGCTCCGGCCTGGGATCTGGGCGACACACGGGCAGCCCCAGGACCTCGGGATGCTTGCGCTTGGAGTGGCGCCGAAGCGTGTTGGCCTCGGTGAAGCGCAGGCGGCAGACAGGGCACTGGTAGGGGCGCTCACCCGAGTGCACACGGTGGTGGTGGGCCAGCTCGCCGGCCTCCCGGAAGCGGCGCGGGCACAGCGCGCACAGGAAGGGCCGCAGCCCTGCGTGTATGTTGCAGTGTCGCCGCAGGTGGCTAGATCGCTTGAAGGTCTTGCCACAATCCTTGCACTCGTGTGGCTTTAGCTCTGAGTGCGAGATGCTGTGGCGCTCCAGGTCGGAGAGGTAGGGAAAGGCCCTCAGGCACACCGGGCAGAAATGCGGGGCCCTCCGGGGGCTGGAGACCTGGGCCCCAGCGGCCGCCAAGCCCTCCGACACCGTGTAGGGCACACCCTGGTCATCAATCAGCAGGAGGTCGCTGTGGTCGCCACCACTGCTGCCACTGTCCACCGCTGCTGCCGGCAGCCCCTGTGCTAGTGGGAGCTCCGGCCCGGACTTGGTGGGACGGCCTCGCTTCCGGGGGAGAGAAGACTTGAGCTTCTGGTGGCAGGAGGGAGCTCCCCCGGGAGGTCGGCCGTGGCGGCCCCGGGGAACAGGAGGAAGTAAGGCCAAAGGTTTCTCTTCCTCCCCTTGCAAAGGTGAAGGCAACGGGCCTGGGCTGGGGGTGTCCATGGAGCAGTGAGGGGCTTGGGTCTAGGCACTGGATGCAGCTAAGAGAAGAGAGGGGCAGCGTCAGTGCAAGCAAGGTCGGCACCTGTGTCGCTAGCATCCGACCCACCCTTCTCTCCAAATATCTGGACCTGGGTTTGAGTAACACCCGGATGTACGACCACAGCCCTGCTGGTGGACAACACACTGAAGCAATTGGTACCAGTGAGGAAAGGGGCTACAAGTGGCCCTGGGGCTGCCTAGCCCTGCCCCTGGCTAAATCTAGTAGTTCAAGACCAATAGGAGCAGAACGTGCAGGCCTCTGAACAGCCCGCCACACTGCAGGTGGAGCTACAGCAGCCCTGGAAATGTTCCTGTCCCCTCCTGATTGCAGAAATGGGGGAGCTTCAGGACTGAACACAGACACAGGCCCTGGAAGAACATGGCCCTGGTTCACACCTGAGGAAATACGTGCACATCACGGAGAGGCAAGCCTACTGGTCGGGCCTCTTGGCCTGTGACTTCTTCTCTGCTTTTTGTACGCGGAATTGAACTCAGGCCCCTGTGCTTGCTAGGCAGGTGCTGTGGTGCTGAGCTATCTCCAGGAGCCACCTGTTCTCTGTGTAGCCTCGGACAAAGTGTTGGCATTTCCGAGCTCAGTGAAATCTTCCACTACATGGTACTCAGGCCTCGCTAGTTGCCCAGACAGAGTCTGGGATTCTCATCCACATAAACTGTGCACAGACAGCCTGTACTTTCCGGGGAGCTAAGGCTCCGATAGCTCTGTACATGAGGATACCTTGTCCCATTTTAAAAATGGAGACATCTGGGTTGGCGAGATAGCTCAGCAGACTAAGCGCCTGCTTTGGCAAGCGCACGGACCAGGGTTCAATCCCCAGTCCCGCATGCTGCACCGACCCTGCCCTGGGGTGCACTGGGCCTAGACAGAGTCGGGTGTGGTGGTGCACACCTATGATTCCAGCGCTGGGTAGGCTGAAAACTGGAGGATCACCAAGAGTCTGAGCTGCGTAGTGAGACCCTGTACCAGATACATAAAATGAAAGAAAAACAATGGGGACATCGATGCACAAGAAAGCCAAAGTGCTTGTCTGAGTTCCTTCTACCATTAAGGGGCAGGGCAAAGACTTCAGGCAGTCTTGCTGATCCCTGGGGCCCAGATAAGAAGTGGACATAACCAGGCAAAGGACATCACCAAGGCTCTCAGGCCTGGGTTGATTCAGCTCTGTGACAATGAGCAAGTGACCCTGCCACTCCAAGCCAGTTGTCCTCCATGACTTGTACAAACCGAGGTGGTGCACGCAGCCTGGGGCACGGCAAACACTTCAAGGATCACCGCCAACTGCACCTTCACGGCACATGCTAGGCCACTGACCACGAACCTTTACGCGTTCGAGTGCCCAAGCTGCAATCCCAAACCCACTTATTGCAAAGCGCAAACACTGCAATTAAACCCGAATGCCCAGCTGCTGGGACTACAGGTTCAACACCACCGCAGTACACCCCGGAAGCCGGGAACTGGGTATACCCCGAGAGCGGCACAGGGGCAGCCAGGGGAGGTTCTGCAGGCCGCCGCACCCCCTTTTGCACTGTCATTTGAGTCTTGCGAATGCTTGGTGCTCCGACGCAGATTCCCGGGAATGCTAGGGATTCCCGAGGCCCGCACCGCCTTACAGGGGCACGCAGCGAGGGCAGAAAGAAACACCTCTTCCACAGCATACGTTCTGCTCCCTTGGTACCCGGACCCGAGCGGGGTCTCGGGAGCACCCGGCACCATGCAGCCCGATCCCTCGAGGGCCCCCCACCCTCGTGCGGGCGCGCACCCGGCGGCCCCGAGCTGCGGCGCCCACGCGCGGGGCGGGCCCTGCGGG